TATTTTCGGTTCCTCGTGCAAAACAAATTTCACCCACCATTTTCATCTTTGAAAACTGAGCACAATTCATGAGCCTCGGTTGCTATGTCTATATCCTCGGCACACGGATTACAACCACCTGCATGTGAATCACATTCTTCCTCGTTAGCTACCCAGGTATTACCAAACATTGCTGCACGATGGGTATGCTCTATTTCAATTGGCATCTAGAAAAACAAATTATCAAATAAAGTTGTAATAAAGTATTGACAGGTGTCTTATGTTGTGGCATGACAATACGTTTATTTTGATGTGGTTATATGTCATATACGGTTGTGGCTTACCAATCGTCCTTTAATATCAGTAAAATCGTCTTCTGGGTCATCATTATAGTTACCACACAAACCTCTAAGTATATCTTTGTATGTGCCCGGTGCTTTGACATCGCCATGGTGGTAACCATCCCACCTAACTACTAGACCAAAATCAACAAAAACACTCTGGAATAAAGAATAACAAAATAAAGATTAGTTGAAATGATTGAAAAAGTTAGACAAAATCCAATGCCACAAACCTAAATGTTTAGATTTATACTCACAACATAGCGTCCTGTCATTCTCACTTCAATCTCTGGTGATACCGTATGTGGCAGAGTAACTTGTTCGCCGTTTACTTTCACGTGTCCCCCTCTCATAAGTCTAACTTCCTATAGAGACAAATATGTATGTGTCAATTCCTTGCAAAATGCCTTTTTTGAACAATATATGGTTATCTTCACTTAAATGTTGTAATGCATTAAGGTAGAGATGCAGGTTCGTGGGCACTTGGGAGTGAAATTTTTTTTTTGCTTTTTATTATCCAAACAGACTTGGCTATAGACTGTTAAAATTATGTAGAATTGTGAATTATGGAACTCAAAAAACGATTTTAAAATATAGATAAAAAGTGCAAACATTCTCTCTTTTGAATGTTTAGCAAGATTTAGCAAGGCTGTACATAAATAATAAAAGAGAAACATGGTGAAAGAAAGAAATGACGTGATCTCCATATTTTGCACTATATTTAACTTTTAACAAAACGATAATACATTTCAATTTGAAATTTGAGCTGCTGCCCTGCAAAATTGACAACTGGTAGACAGTTTTCAAGACGACACTTTCTTCATAGTAAACAGATGTACCCATAAACTAATTTTCACAGGAAACAGAAGCATGGTTTAGAAGCTAATTTTTTAAAATCACTTTTGACCAAAAAAGCACATTTTTCATACAATAAGCTTTCCGAAAATATATAGTTTTGTGGACCAGGGAGGTCATCTTGGTTTCCTAATTAACTAATTAAAATACCTGTCAGGTAAACTGCATCACTACCTTAAATGTTGTAAAACTATAGTTTTTTACCTGTCCATAAACGATTACTATCAACTCTTGTGTGACACTTAAAGACTCATATCCTGCATGGAATTCCTCATTGTTTGCCAGTACTCGGAATGACGTCATCTCATACGTAGCACTTTCAGATAAAATGTAAATACAATCTCCTTGGAAATCATATGCCACTCCGTCATATGTGATATAATGTGGATCGCCCCAAACGTAACATACACTGTACTCTGAAAAATAATAATTGTGGCCATTAAATAATATGTTAATCAGTAATTAAAGTTAATTGTTATTTATTTTATAGTTACTTGTAATCTAAGAACATAACAAAGACAAACCACTAACCTTGTTCACAGTTGTGGCCGTCAAATCCTCGAGGACAAAGGCAGTCATACCTATCTATCCCATCGATGCATGTTCCGCCATTTTGACAAGGATCACTGCAGCACTCTTCAATCTCTTTTTGTAAAGATAAAGAAATGCAATTAGACAATATTGCCAACTGAATATACAATGAGTAATAGTTATAATAGCTGAACAGTGTATAATCAAGTAACAATATACTTTACCTGCACAAAATGTTTCATCCACTGGAGGTTCCCAAATAGTATCCCGACATTGTGTATAACCTTTTCCATGTCTCTCATAGCCACCATTACACTCGAATGTGACTGTGGTGTTCACTAAAACAGGATAGTCAGTATTCTTCTACCTGATAACCATTCTCTGGAGCACCAGGATCACTACACGTTGGTTCACATGTAGGAAGCTCGCCAAACCAGGTACCATCTTCACCACAAATAATTGCTTGTTCTCCATTCATAACGTAACCATCATCACAGCAAAATCGTACAACAGTGCCAGGTGGAACAGGATATGTGTACTCATCATCCTGA